GGGGGTAATTTGTTTTAACATATAATTCTGCTTCATAATTATGCTTGTTTGACATATGTCCGTAATTCGGTTTTAACATTATATCATTATAACCATTTTTCATTGAACCCGACAAAGTAACTTTTTTCTAATTTTGTTTATTCTGCATGATAAATTATTTCTACTACATTATTACTGAAATCGGCTTGTTCAAAGGACAGCATGAATCTCTGCGGGGGCCCATGGAGAGTTCTGGACTTTAACTAAAGGAAATCTTTCTTATTGATCCTGGCCATCTGACATATTAATAAAACGATTCCACAGTCTATCATATCACACTATATATTGAATATTAAAATTAGCCCTGTGTTGATGGGTCGTGACACGAAATGTAACGAATGAAATTACCTTATTTTGGACCACACATTTTTAGCCAATATATATATAATTACTGCATGATTGAGTTTTTTAGGCTTTGCGGCAACGACTTCAAGTGAAACAGGAAGAAGACAATAACTTCCGTTTCGCACAACCGTGGCCCGTTATTCTCATTTCCTATTTTGTTTTTTAAATGAACCGTTATTCGTTTTTGTTTTGGTTCAGATTCATAAACGAATAAGAAATAACCAAAACCGTTTTTTCATTTTCCGATTTTGTAATGTCAACTGAATATTGAAAAGAAGGAATGATACACGGATTTACCTCCAATTTCTTTCCTCAGCATGCCCAACATTAACAAGACTGTAATATAATCAAATTGTATAATCAAGAAACTTGAAAAAATTGACAAATAGGGTCATGGAAATGCTACAGGGCTAATTTTGCAGTGTTACACATTTAGAAATGTCGGTATCTCTAGCAAGATCTACAAACAGGCTGCATGGCAGTCGGATCTCTTCTCTACAGTACGATGCCATATGAACCGAAGATGCAGTGGCATCTCAACCTGAACAGAAATGTCACTGTGAGAGATGTCTCTCTGACTTTCTTTAAGTAAGTTAGTGTGGAGAGAGGTAGATGTAACATCAATAGCGGGAACTAAAGCTGCTCCATTCCAGCGTCGGGCTGAACAGTGTACACCCAGTGGAAGTAGCAGTCCAATCAGTGAGCAGACGTGAATTTTCAATGATCTGGAGAAGCTCTTGTTCTGCAGCGCTGCTAAATATAGTGAAGTAAAGAACAAAGCAACGATGGTGTTCAGTTTGAGCTTTGGAGAGAGTTTGTGAGGCGACTAATGCTGCTGCTGAAGAAATATTCGGAGTTTTTACTAAACTATCGTCGAGGTATCAGGAAGAGATCGACCGTCAGCGCAGGACTAGCTTGGACCTCGTTTGGAAACCTCAAATAAAGTTACCACAGGGATAGTTTGTGTAACACTAAATCATTTGATTCATGGGCTTCACTTCTAGTTCAAAGTGGGCTGATAGAATAGGTGGTTAACAGCTCAAAGGGACCATTTTCCCTGCTCCAATATAGAGTTTCATTGTTCAACCCAATAAAGGGATATTTCACTTAAAGGCTCCAGTTTTAGTGCACCAATTATAGAAATATATGTTAAAATCGCTTTTAATCAGGTTTCTGTGAACAACGGAGTGGCAAACTGTATGTTGTATAAAGAAAAGGATAAAACAAGCTCAAATGGGCTTAAAAATAGGAACCATTTGAATGAGGGCAGAAAGTGTGGAGACGTTCAGTCAGTCTAATAGTGGTGCAGCTGCTCACTGGCTCTATTGCTCAGAGAAACTTTATTAACACAAAACAGAGGAATTATATTTCTATATAACCCCTATTGCTTAAAATAGTGGTTTTACTCATATGTCTGCATGTTCTTATCCTCCAGACTCCTACAGCAACATGTCTGCTAAGGAAGGAGATTCTTGTTGGACCAGCAGCTCTGTAACCGAACCAGAACTCCAGTGTGGACCAAGAGGACCAGATCCTCCACAGATTAAAGAGGAACAGGAGGACTCTGCAGCGTCGGGGAGAAGAGGCAGACTTGAACTGAAGCTGGAGACGATACCTTTATGTTGACTCCATGCTAATGAGGAAGTGACACAGTGAACCAGAACCAGAAAGAGGGGAAACCCCAAAAAAAAACAGCTCCTCTACTAACAACCCTATGGTAGCTGAGAGCCGAGATCAGAAAAGAGGTCAAAGCATGAGGACTCAGGATCAACTGGAATGTAGGAGAAAAAAATACTTTCAGAAAGCAAAAGGTCGACTAACAAAGTTCCAACGCACCTAAACATATACTAAAAACGTGTACAATGTGACACTGGTGGCGGAAAGTTTAGGTGGCATGTAATCATTGAATGTGCACCAGAGAAACACCACAGGTGAGAAACCATATTCATGGTGACACCTGGTGGAAAAAGTTCAGTCAGCATCAATATGAACACTCATATAAGATTCACACAGGTGAGAAGCCGTATTTCATGTGTCACCTGGTGGAAAAAAGTTTCAGTCGGACATCAGGTTTTGAACACTCATTAAATGATCCACATCAGGTGAGAAGCCCCCCCCCCCCCCCCCCTATTCATGTGACACCTGTGGAAAAGATTCATCACATTCAGTATTGAACACTCATATTTAAGGATCCAAAGGTGAAAGGATATTCATGTGACACCTGTGGAAAAAGATTCAGTCGACATCAATATTGACAACTCATATAAGGATCCACACAGGCGAGGAAGGCGTATTCTGGCAAACATGTGGGAAAGATTTCAGATTGTAGCGGTGATTGGAACGCCCACATGAGAAGTCACGTGAAAAGCACGCTGAAGAGGAGTAACTTTGTAAGATCTGCGGGGAAAAAAACTTAAATGTGTCTTTTATTCGAAATTATGAGGTCACATATAAGTTAGTAGTTTTATTTGAGGAGACGATTAGTTCTAGTAGTTTGTGGTCAAAACCATGAGGAGTCTTAAAGCTCAACACTTGTGGAACAGTTTCACATACTTGAAAACACCTGGAGAATCAATGTAGAAACCAGGTGGGATGAAACTCTGAATGAAACACACTTGTAGTGTAAAATGTTTCTACATAAGATGCTTTGCAGATATTTTATGTACAGGTTCCTTCATGGACTTATTTCTTAATTTCTGTTAGCAACAGGTATTCTTGAAACAATATCTCCATATCTTGTTTCACACGAGTTCCTGTAGTGACTGTTATCCAAAGGGTGTGATTGTGATGGAGATATTTTGCCAAATGTCATGACTTTCGTTTGTTTTTTAAGGATCAGTGTCTTTGGTTTTGGGTTGTCAGTAGTTCTAATGTTGCAGTCAGCTCAAAACCGGACATTGCTGATGTAGGAGTTTGTTTCATTCTGCAGGAAAGTCTCAAAATGCATTGCATGGTTGGTGTAAATAAGTAGTTAACTGTAAGTAGGAGTTGTTGCCAAAACCTATTCCACTGTGCCGTCTATTGCCCATGTGCAACTTGCTGCTTACTATTTGTTGTTATCTGTTGTTGTGAATTCTTATGTTTTTTCGTCTTGTACTTAGTGTTTATTTATTTATATTGATTTCCCTACTACTTACTGTTATTTATACAGTTTTTTTTCTCTATCCATTTTGCTGCTGGTACATTGAATTTCCCAGTTGTGGGCAGAAATAAGAGGAATATCTATCTATCTATCATGTAATTTCTCTCAGCGCACCTGGGCACCCTGGTAGTCATGATGTTATGCACGGTGGTGTCTGACCTTTCTTATCAGAACAGCATTAACTGTTTCAGCAGTTTGAGGCTACAGTGCTGGTCTGTTGGATCGGACCACAGGTCGCTTCACTCCCATGAGGGCATCACATGAGCCTCCGGCCCCCCATGACCCTGTCTCTGGTTCTTTTCCTTCCTTGGCACTTGTGATACGGTACTGACCTTGCAGGACGGGAACCCCACAGAGCTGCAGGTTTGGAGATGCTCCCAGTGCGTCGTAGCGCATCTTCAATGTTGGCCCTTGTCAAGTCATGGAGATCCTCACGCTGGCCCTTTTTCTGTTTCTAACACATCACTCTGATGATCAAAATGTTTCACTTTACTGTTTGATATACCCCCCCACTTTATTCACTCCAGTGCTACATAATGGTTCTTGAAATGATGGTTCCCTACCACTGGTGCTACATGGGCTCCTCTTAGTGGTTTACAGGGGGATCTCAAATATATATTTAATGGGAAATAATAATATAAACATATGATTACAACAATTCAATATGTATAAGCTTTCCTTCAATATTTGTTCAGTAGTCAGCCTGCTATGTAGTTGTGTTTGGTGAGCATGGAAGCGCACACAAACACCCCAGACTTTGGGTCTGAATGTATGATTGCCCAATTAAGAATGGGAATCCTTCCCCTGGCACTTGAGGTTGGCAGATTTAAAAATATCCCAGAGGAACAGAGACTTTGTGAACTTTGTGATTTACGAGAAGTGGAGAATGAATCTCATTTTCTTTTATACTGTCCCTTCTATGATGAACTAAGAGTACCTGTTGTAAATGAACTGTTTGCTCAAAACCCTGAAATGTTTTGGAGTAATGATGATTCAGGATGGAATGTTTGTTTACCTTAATGTTTATAAGGTTAGCCTAAACCTGGATGAAACGTCAGGAATGGTTATATCGTTAATGTTATATTGTTTAGCATCTACTTTTGGGTTTTTGTCTGTCTATGTTTATAAAATGGTGTCGTTGTATAGCCCTTGTGGGCTGGGCATGCTAATGCATGACACAATAATAACAAAAAAATCATTCATTCATATTCAAATGAGCCATGTGTTGATTGCTCATGCAGTTGCTACCACCAGGCTGCATTAATAAAAGTAAGAAAATATATTCAGAAGTTTTTTATTTCTTTGATTTGATTGTCAGTAGGTTTTTCAAGACATCCTTGAAATTAATGCTATTTGTGGGGCCTTGGCATGGAAACGTTTGGGAACCCCAGTCAGAACAACTGCAATTCCAAGACATTTTCTGCCTCTACCTGTGGATTGTGTGCAAACTGATTAATTAAACTGACAAATTAAATCCCAGAGGCAACCTCTATGGTTGGGAAATGAGGCCAACACACAGTTCCTCAAACGACCATTTCAGACTGGCTCCAGAAGTGAGTCAATCTCCATAAGGCCTTATATTAAAACGCCCAACTTTACAGCAGAAATCACAAGTTTTAATCACAATAAGAGGGCATAATGTGGATTAGGGTATGTGTTGAGCTTTAGAGAGAGTGGAAAAAGACAACACAGGCATAAACTCACAGCCACGCTGGTACTAGGGTTTCCATAATACTCTTGTTTATTACTAACATAACATTAACATCAACCTTATCAAGCCCGGTTGTGCAGCTACTATTTTATCACACAGGAACAAAACAGGCCACATGTAGTTTAAACGTTACTGTTGAGTTGAGACGCAAAAGGAAAAACAGGAGCTCAGCAACAGACATCCATTCACTGCCGGTGTACCGCTCAACTAACTCCAGACGTCTGATGACTCTTCTCTCATATCTAGGCAACAGTCTCTTAAAGGCACATTTCACAGTTTCGGCTGTTACACAGTCAGGACTTCTAAAATGTTGACAGCCAGAGTCGACCACACTGAGGCTCTCAGATACAGAAATCTTGTCATGACAACTTTTTTTTTGTTCTGTTCTGACTGAACTGACTGAATTATTATTGATATACATTTGCAAACTGTCACTTCAAGCTCTATTAAAAAGTCCTACTGATAAATTCTATAACCAAAATCTAATCAAGACAATGTGCAGGAGTTTGTTTCTCCCTAATGGCTCATTTCAGAAAGTCAAGAAACCCTGGTTGAATTCAGAAATAACACAAGAACAGATAAAGTGGTCAACAGTTCATTTCCTGGAGCTCGATGTCAGCTGCAGATGCTTTTGTCCTCCTCTGGTTTCCTCTCCGTGTGAAGAATTCCACTATGATTACCATGACTGGCAGAGCCACACAGAGCGCTATGCGGCTGATGGGCAGGTGGACGGGACAATCAGTGGCAGCTGAATGAATCACACTCTGGTCAGTGGGATGATTTTCAAACAAAAAGGTAGATGTGAAGTCCAGAAATGCGGCCCTGTTGTTTTCCTGGGTGGTCACCTGACACCTCCACTTCCTGTTGTTGTCGTCCGCCTGGAGGTTTGTGATCAGAGTGATGTTGCAGCGAGTGTGGCCAATCAGCTCGTACCTGTACACAGGGTGGAGATCATCAGAAAAACATCACACAGCTGTCAGTCATCCGTAGATAATGTTTCATTTAGCTGTTTGAGCACTGTAGTGTTATAATTCAGTGATATTCAGCTTATTGTCAACAAATCACACCAGAAGATCAAAACCAGCAATGAATTGATCCTATTAACAAATAGTGGAGAGGTATAGATGTGACATGGGGAGAGTTGTAACAATCATTGATCAGTTCAGAGTTTGTTACCACAAGTCCGGAAACAGACACATGCAGATTCTATACAGAAATATCTGATTTTAGGGGAAGAGGGTTCATTTTTTTGATGAAGATTATGTTTTGTTTAGTACTTTAAACTACTGCAGATAAAATCATGTTTTATATAAGGTTAAAGTGTAGTTTCTGTGATGTGATGCCTTTTTGCCCCTGCTAAATTAAGACCACTGTGCCTATACAGCTACCTAAACAATGGCCGACAAGAGTAGGTTGTAACACATCTTTTTAGTTATTCCACTTTTATTGTATACCCCTGGGAAAAGATAGCCATACTCATCAGTGGTGGCGATATTCAATAACAATAAGAAAATGTACTCATGTGGACACAAATCTGAAGTTCAGACGCTGACTAATTTATGTCAAAATAAAATATGTTTAGACAGAAACGTAATTCAGATGAAATGACAACGTACTGCATTTCGTTTCTACTAAAATAAGTAGAAATAGGTCTTATTTTAAGATTTTTTTAAAATAACCTTTAACCCAACTCACAGTCTTTTCTATATTTAACAAAAGGGCTTTTGTTGGAGGAGTCTGGACCCGGATTGTGGTGTGACAGTCCTGCACTTTGTCCGCCCACCAAAAAACGCTGTCTGTGAACATAATCCTGTCAGTTTGTCACTACAACTACAACTAGTATACAAACATAATTTATCTGAGACAGGGTTATAAATAGTGTTACAACCCTCTCCTTACACACAACAAAGAACACTTTTCTCGACCTTTTTTAAAAGCATCAAATGAGTTCAAGGGAAAATCAGTCAGATTAGTTTACTGATACGTTCGGTATTAACATTTTGGCAACGTGCCAGGTATGTTAATTGGATATTGAATTTATAATTCAATATTAAAATGTTCTTAAATGAGAAAATAGTCACCTGTCAAACATCTTAACATGGAACCATAATGAAACAATTACTTTATAAATTTACGGGTTATTTAATTTATTGAACTTCTGTCTTGTTTTTTTAGTACGTTTTATTGTTAAAACTAATAAACCTTTTGGTAAATAAAAAGTAATTGTCCTCAAAAAAAGACAGAAAACTTCTTCTTTGACTTCCTGATGGTCATATTAAAAATATCAGACAGGTTATTCAATGTACTGATGAACAGGGTTAGGGAGTAATGGATTACATGTAACTGAGTTACTTAATCAGGAAAAAAACTGTAATCCATTACTGTTGCAGAAAAAAATAACAGTTGCATTTACTAAAAATTTGTCTTATTTAGCAGAGCTAAGGACAACATTTTGATGCTTCCATTTTCAATTTTTTCCGTTTCCATTTTGTTTTCTAAGGTTTCATTGTTCTCTTGTCTTAGAATAGAGAATATAATACACTTACATCAATACTTCCTATTGATATTTCTTCTAAAATTTCTTTTAATTTGGTGTTGAGGTAATCCAGAAGTAACGGAAAGTAATCAGGTTAGGTTTCTTTAATATTGTGATACTTGAATTAGGTTACCAACTACATTGTTTAACAGATAATTAGGAATTGATTTGTCTATTTAATTTTACCTTTCTCTGAGGATTGGGGACCATTATTATTACTTTTCTTTCTTACTCTTCCGCACTCATTTTACTTGCTGTGTTTTATCTGAGATGTTTTGCTCTGTGTATGAAAAATGCAATATTATTTTTAAAAGAAATGTCAGAGAACCTGCTGTCTTTGAGCAGCATTGTGCCATTCTCATTCGCCCAGCTCAGGTTGAACCCACTGCTGTATTTGCAGCTGCCAGCATCATAGAAGGTGAACAGGACGCAGTTCAGGGTGAGGTTTCCTCTGGGCTGCAGGTTAGTGATGGTGGAGAGTGAAGTGATGGTGAGGAGAGAGAGGTAAACGTCAGTGATGGCGTTTCCCCGCTTCAGGCAGACGTAGGAGCCGGCGTCCTCGACCCTGAGGTCACTGATGCTGAGGAAGCAGTTGGATGTGATGGACATGCGGCTGGCTTTGTCTGAATCTGCATTCAGCTGCCCGTCACTGACCAGAGTGTACAACACCTGACCCCCTTTGTAGAAGGTCCAGGAGATGAGGGAGCAGTCTGAGGAAACCAGTTTGGTGCATGGCAGGAGGGTGCTATGTCCAAGTCTGCTGTACACAAACTCTGCATCCTTTTTGCACCTCACACCTGGAAACACAAACGTCTCTGTCAGCAGCGAAAAACTATAAATCTACAAACTCTTTTTATTTTTCTAGTTTAAATAAATAAATAAATCACCACCAGAAGATGGCCAGTGTTGCGTTGTGTAGTTTATGAACAGTTCAATCAAACCTTCTCAGACAGTTTCTTACTCTTTTTATTGTAGAGCAGAACTCTGAACCATTCATCGCTTCAGATTCATCTTGTGACCCTTAAGTTGGGAACCACTGGACTAAACTAAATAAAGTAGCTCCACCTCGAGTAGCTACAACAATAAAATGCTGCTTTAACATCGATGCATCAGTATTAATAATATAACAATACTGTTTTTTTCTGCAAAAGCAGTAAGTTAACTGTTACATGTCACTGAAAGTAAATTTATCTTGATTATACTGACTTGAATAAAACTTAAAAAAGTATTTTTTACATTGTTGTATTGATACTTTAATTAAATAAAAACATCTGAGTCGGTCATATTCCAACTGAACTTAACACTCAGGATACAGATCTTCTACTTGTACTACTGGTAGCAAGTAAAAAAGCAAATAACTAAGAAATGGAAGTTAAAGACCAACAAAAGGAGAGAAATCTATAAAATGCACAAACTGACCTTTTCTCTTTGGTTTTGTATCATTAAATTAAAGTGTTGGTCCAAATGATGTATACACATGAATATAGATAGAATGGATATATGGATATGGATAGAAAAAGGGAAAGGTCAAATGTTTCATTTTTTCTCATTACTTATTTTTTTAAATTTTTAATCTATTTCTTTTCTATTCTTCTTCTCCGCTCTCCTTCCTCCAATATATATATATATATATATATATCCATAATTCCTTCATAACCTTATTCTTGTGATTTGTTCAGTGGGCTCATACTGGGTTTGTAAGAAGAAAATAATCTAAGTGCTTCTTCCCCCACTGAGCAGATCAAATGCGACCCTAAATGGATAAAAACCAGCTGTACGTACCTGTTAAAAGCAGACAGGTGAGCAGCACAACTCTCTTCAGGTTTTTCATGGTCGTCATGTCTTTGATTTTACCTCAACAGCAGCTCTGTGTCTCTCTGCTGCTGCTCTCTTTAGACGACTGTCTTCATTTCCTGTGTTACACTAAACTGAACAGGACACACGCCTCAGTCTTCATCCTCTCTGTCATGAGGGACTCACCATGTTACTATTCAGTATTATTTAGTTATTATGGAAGGGATGGAATACAGCGTACAGTTAAATTAGAGGATGAGCCCTGCAACATTTAATCTGCTGTTTGATTAATGCAGAAATATTCAGAGATGGCAAAAGTACAGTTCTTTTTTCAAGTAGAATAAAAAAATGAAATGAAAGTAAAGATTAAACTTCTTTCTTTCTTTACATCTGCCAGCTGTTTCTGGAAAAAGTGAACTGAAATTGGATCGATTCTCCCCGGATATAAAGTTTAAAGTTAGTCTTCAAAGCTGCTGTATAACCTGTTTTCAGGACCCTCAACACTGATTTCCACAAAACTGTAATGATGGTTGGAACTGAAAACAGACTGAAGTCATTTCATTATTAATGAACAATAGTGAAACACCACACAAAGGAATCATTAACTGTCATTTAGGTTTCCAGGACAACACTGACCCACTGACATATCATAAATAATATAACTGCATAAATGACCTAAAGCAGAGTTTCTGCAGGCTTGATTTAAACTGTTTAAGAACATTATGAATGCAATTTACCTATTTATATCCATACTGGTAAAAACAGCATGAAGGATATAAAGGAAAATCAGTGTTGGGTCAATTTCCATTATTTGATTTTAGACTTTTTAAGACCTTGCAGACACCCTGTGAAGGGTTGAGGCTTTGAACTATAACGTCCCAGTTTAACTCTGGCAAGGGACGTTTGAAACATATCATTTCTCATCAGTGTTGGGCTCATTGCTCAAAACATTTAATTTATTACTCATGTGACCTATATTTACCCAATGATCTGAAACCTGCTGTCAACAATTAAAATCCAGTTTTATTTGTTGAAATCAAAGTAAAGAGAATATCTTCAGCTGATAAATGTTAGTGTTTCCGTCTTTAAAGCGAGTTTACAATTACAAAAATTGATTGTTGGATTTCAAATCAGTAGGGGCCTGGCAACAAAAGTAAGGGTGTAACCAATTATATTTTGGTGGGAAACTGTAATATTATTAGTAATAAGTTACACTATTAGTTACTGGGGGGAGTAATATTATTACTGTAATATTATTAATACTGCCAAACACTTTTCTTCATCGATCTCTTCCTTCATCTCTGTACAGTCAGCTCTAATGAAGTCATAAAATAGTGCATCATTATAAGAAATAAAAACCAAAAAAACACCTACGTCAGTCTTCTTACACTGAGGTTGGTTGGGAACGTTACAGGAAGATAAAACCATCCACCTTGTGATTATTGTCACCAATCAGTGTCACTTTTCTTATAATGAGACACAAGGTGTGAAATGCAACTGTGTGCAATTTTTCTCCTGCTGGGGGGTTTTAAGAGGAAGTGTTATTGTGACACATTGTGGTGAAGATACTGTAGGTCGTATCCCCACACCTCCCATTTCTGTGAAAGAAGGAAGGAAATTCAATTTGACCTGATATTTTAGTGAAGAACTAAATTGTATTTTAAAACTTCTGTTTGTGTTTTGTTAATAAATCGTTCTTTTGAAATTAAAAAACATTCTGCAGCAGTCTGAGAGTATCACACGTATAAAGTGTAAAAAAGAAACATGATCTACAAAACAATGAGAAACGAAAGTCTGCAGCCGTGCTAGCTGAAAAAAACTGCCAATGTCATTCTGATGTTCAGCATCTTAGTTTAGCATGCTAACAATTGCTAACCAGCTCTAAACACAACAGGTGTGGGTGGGAATTTAATTTGTTTTGCAGGTATTCAGTCATAAATCAGGAGTCAGCAACTTTTACTATCAAAAGAAAAAGAGAACACATTTGAGCCGTATAATGGTAATTTCTAGTGTAGGTGGTGAAAGCAAAACATTCTGTTCATGTATTATTAAATTCTTTATTCTCCTCAGAGACTTTGGAGTCCTCAAGACTAGTAGCCACTGCTATTAAGGTTCGCCAATATATAGGCCTAGAGGAAAAGGTTGAATGTTCTGTGTGTAATGGCTACACATTTTTACAACTGGAGACTGTGAAAATCACTTTCAGCCTATAACATCAATGAATAAAAATGTTAATCTGTGGCTCCGGAGCCCTTCAGCTCTTTAGACCCTCTCCAGTGACTCCCTGTGGCTTTAGCCAAAAAAATATATGTATTAATAATAATGATTATTTTTTAACATTTTAATGTATTATTGTTGTAGGTCTGAAGTAACTCTCTCACAGCGGTTCAACATGGCAGAAGGGTACTAATAATGCTGAGATCCCTGAAAAGGTGTGTAAACATTATACACTATAATTCAAGTATTAATGACAGAGTATTCTGGTGTTATGTTCTTATTTCTGCCAATAGATCCCCCTAAATGTTACACAACTGACCTTTAAGAATCTTTATATCTAAGCTAGCAAGGAATTTAATTTTGTGTTGTATGGTAGTGGCCCCTATAGACAAAGCGTAAATCGTTCTACCCCTAATTTCATTGATTTCAAGAGGAATCAGATGTCTTGTGTTGTTGTATCACTAGTCAAGAGCACATAGTATTAAATTAGTTTTTATTTCCCCAGTTAAAAACTCCTTGTATTGTAGGTTTAAAGTTTCCACTTGTAAGGTTTAGTGTCCCATTTAAATGCTCTAAATACAGCTATTTCTTCCTGTCAGCAGTGTTTCTAAATTTATTATGAGACACTGAGTGGACTCTTTTTTTTACTGCAATATTCAAGTAATATCTCCACTTCATAACCACAAGCTCCCACCTCCTGTTACTACTAATATAACTTTATACACCAAGATATCCGTCTGTGGGCCCCTACTGTCCCTTTCAAATATATATATATATTGGACAGTGAGAGAGAGAGAGAGAGGGGAGGAGGACATGCAGCAAAAGCCCACGTCAGACTTATTTCTCATACCTGCTCCGCTCTCTGACCTCTCTGATACAGGATGGACTGTTCATATTCAATGTTTATTGTTGTTTTCACACTCTGATCACACAGGAAGCGGTCCCACATGACGGTACAGTTGTTGTTAGAGAGCTTGCCCTGCTCTGTGGTGAACACCGCTCCGCTTTCTGCTGACGTGTTTGTTCAGCTTTTGTGTTTTATGACCTTTCTGGTTTTTAATCTGGGTTATGAGTTGCCCAGTGTTGTGTGTATGATGCAGTGGAGATCCCCTGGTACAATCTATAATGCTGTTAGCTATTTCACACCTTACTTATTTGCAAGTGGTAGGTTCAGTATATGAAGGTCTGTATGACGTCATTAAATCTAACAAAACTTTCAGAGTAAAAAAAAAACGTTTGCAACTGTGTAGTTGTAGTTTATTAACATTTAGCAGCAGCACAATTTTACTGACATTACACAGGATATGAAACAAAATTCATATTTTAAGTACCTAAATTAATTATAAGGTAAGAGTCTTTGTTGTAATAAAGTAATGCTTCATCCCAAACCACAGTCATCATTGAAATTCATTACATACAGATGTTTTACTGTCTAAAATGTCTAGCGTTCAAAATCAAGACCCCCTTTCATTACCTAAAATAACTCAGAAAAACCTGCAGCAACTTGGTCTTTTTAAACGGTAATTTGGGTATTTTTCAACCTGGACCCTATTTTCCGATGTTAAGATCCTCTTTGTTTAACCAGAAACAGCTGTTATATCACCTTGTTCAAAGCCACCAGACTCCATTGATAAAAACAGTAACAATACGTAACATCTTTCCAATTTATTAGAATAACAATCTGAGCCTGTCAGTGGCCAATATATTTTTGTTTTCAGAAACAAAGTGTACAGTTTGCAGTTTGCTGCAGCCCTCTGATCACCACCAGGTGAATATGAGTTTGTAGAAGTAGTCGTAGCTCCTGGACAGGAAGCTCTTTGTGTTGCTGTGTTGCTGGACGCTCACCCTGTAGCCCTGACTCTCGATGTCCATCTTTACACAGTCCAGCAGGTCTTGAACGGACGGGGCGGCCTTCCATGGTCCGAACGTCACCACTGACTCCTTATCCGCCTCCAGGCTGTTGATGGCGTTGTCATAGAAACCCAAATCCTCCTCCGTCCGCAGCACGCAGATCATGATGGTGGAGTGGCGAGCGGCGATGGCCTCGGCCCTGGCAATACGAATCAGCACCTGAAAGAAAGGTGACATTGTGTTCATCAACAGATGAACAGATTACGTAAAAGTAAAGAGTTGCATCCCTGGGTGGAGTCAGCTGAACCGTATTATAGTAACATTTTTATTTTTTCTGTCAATTTGGTATTTTGAGTGCCTCTTAAAAGACCAGGATTTAGTGCCATCTAGTGGTGTCGTTGCAGATTACAACCCCTTCACCTCACCCTCCCCTTCCGAGTACAAAGGAGAAACATGGTGATTCAACTCATGTCACGAAAACACAATGAATCTTATTTTCAGGTGATAATACACAAATTAAAAAATACCTACACGTTATATTCCATTTCTGCCAATAGAGCATCCTAAATGTTACACACTGGACCTTTAACCATTGAGTAGAAACACACCATGAGAGCTGGAGACTGCCATGAATTCACAGGTTACAGTGTTCTGGAAATGTTGTGGATTTTTGTTGTTGTTGTTATTAACAGTTGGTTAATAGTGAGTAATAATAGTGAGTGCACCTCGATGTTTTCTTTGTAGTGTGGGACTCTGGATAGGAACTGCTGCCTTCCCACCAGCTCTCCAAACAGCTGAGGAGTTTCCTCCAAACGTTTGATGAGTGGTTTGATGTTGTAGTACACTGCCTCCCTGTGAACCTGCACACACACATTATACAGTACAATACGATAAAACAGTTATAAAACACTCTTAACCTACTCTCCTTCATGAGATGAATAAAAGTACAGGACTCAAACCTCCTGGATGTTCTCTGTGGGCAGCCAGTCTGATCTCAAGAAGTCGAGGACGGCTCCGAAGTGCGAACCATCGCGATCGATGAAGTGTCGTCCGTCTGCGTCTGTGCGTAGTTTGGGCTGTCCACTGAACAGCTCAGCCAGCTTGGAGTCGGGGTGTTTCCTGAGCGTGCTCAGAAAGGTGCTGAACAGGTGACCCCCGACATTTAACTTCACGACTGGAGAGTGCTGAGAGGAAAGATTGTTTATTTATTTCAACTTTATGAAACTGCTTGGTTGCCTGTCTGTTCGGGGCTTAAGCACTGCTGCTTTGGGGACCTTTTTCACAGCAGCCAGACAGGAAATAGTAGGGTAAACACAAGTGTTACCAATGAGGATGATGCAAAGACCCAATTGAAACTGCTCAGATTTTTATTCTTAACTGTAATTAATCGCATTTTTGGAGGCTGCAACAAAACTTCAAAAGTTATGAAGCACAGGATTCAGCGGTGGTAATAATATACGTATCTTATACTTCTTGCACACGGGTGAGGCAAAGCGCCGCCTAAACTGTATCAGATGTAAAAAAAAGGTATTTTGGAGCCATACTCCAGAAAACACAGGACGTCGGCCATTTTGAATTTAGTGTTCAACTTTGGTGCCATTTCTGTGCGTTGGATTTTAACGACTTCCTCCTAGAGAATTGATCGGATCGACATGAGCAATTGTGACGCCCCACTCCACCCTGTCTTCCTGTTCCTGGAGGTGTGGCTTGTTTTGTTTTCTGTGCAGGTACTTTAAGTGGGCGTGGGCAGGGAAGGGTCATCAGGTGCGTCGGGGATTCACATGAAATTCTCACGCCGTGGTCTATAAATGGTGGGGTAGCACATAGCGTGACAGCAGGTGTCTGACAACATTAGTGACAGATTAAATTAAATGACAGTGAAAACATCTGGACTGGCACTCATTAACAGCAAAAACAACACAGCAGCACCTCGGTTACTGTGTGCTCAGAAGGGCGTCAGCGTGAGTCACCTTCATATTGATTTGCTCAGGTTGATAAGACCAAATGTCTCAGCTGTCTGTCAGAACAACAGGGATGTCTGTTAGTTCTGAAACACCCAGTGACGGCCGCAGTTTTTACATGGGGATGGAAATCCACAATGAATAAAGACTGCACTGACTCTGTTAAAGCAATAAGTTGTGAATAGAGCTCGGCTGATGTGAGATAATACCAGCTTTAGAAGTAGAAAGTTCACAGATTACTGATATAGTGAGTTTATATACTTAAAATAGACCTTTTCTATGTGGATTGTGCACCGATATGAGTCTGCAGAGGTTCTCAGAAGGCTGCTTTCTCAAATAAATAACTTTATTAGTTAAATAAATGTTAGTTGTTTAATTATTATTATTTTATTATATACATTTTAACATTATTATTATTTACATCACTGAGAACTGCTTCTTTTCTCTAGAGGCCTTTACACACTGGGGCTGTGTTAATTAATCAATTCACAGGTCAATATAAGATTTTATTGAACGTTTTTGTCCTGAGCACTTTCACACAGAATATTACACACATTAATTTAATCATGTATCACATCGCTGCCAGTATGATTTAGGGCTGTGTACTGGCAAGGTGGTGATACAATAGGGATGATGATACAGGTGTTACTATTCAATATATGTATATAGTTTTATATTGTAATACTCTTAGCAAGGCGATACATCAAACACCACCAAAATCTGATTTAATTTAATTATGCAACCAGACCAGGAGCAGGTCAGTTTATATTTACAACACTGATATCCAGCAGTTGGGTGTTTAAACATAAAACTCAATATTATGAAACAAAATATCACAATACAAAATTAGTTTGTAGAAGATTATTTTGGTGAGAGGCGATGAGATGGAGCCAGTGCCGCTGCAGTGAGGACTCAGACTCATCCAGGTGAGCTACCAGGGGTCTCAGGTATGTACAGGTGTATCATTTATTCAGCCACAGTGTGTAAAGGCCTTTACTTTGTCACAGTATTATAAATCACAGCGACATCTGCTGGACAAACGCTGCAGTGACACCAAAATATCACCACAGGAATTTTAATCCGAACAATCAATCAATCAATCAATCTATCTATATATCTATCTATATTTATTTATCTTGCACTCACTTAATGTAAACTGGGATAACCTGTTAAATCACTTGTTAATGTAATGGTGTAGAGTAACTTAGTACATTTACTCAGTACAGGTTTCCATTTTATGTTTTTACTCAACTACATTCATTCAGAAAGAACTATTGTAGTTTTTTTCTCCACTATAGTGAGTTTAAAAACTACATTTCCCTCTGAGATACCCTTCAGGAGTTAATAATCCTTCTGTCTCGGCTGGTTAACTCGAGAGTTTCCTTTAGGTTTTATTTGTTTCCTGTAGAAGATGGCGGCTGTTTAACCGCTTCAAACTAACTCTTTCAGACCTTAAAGTTATATATACACTGTATATCTGCAGTGAATACTGAGCTCATAAAGCAGGCAGATATTACAGTGTCTTATCTTCAGCCTGTCTGCGCCTCCATCCACCTGTTCACAGGTAGGAAGTTTAGTTCCGCCCTCGCTGCTCCTCTAAATATCAAACTGATGTTAAAAGGTTTTTTCTTACTGGAACTGCGGATGAAGAATGTTTCTCAGAGGTTTTGTAGTCCGGCAGACTCATCTTGACTCCAGCGTTTGTCCAGGTGTGTTTTTACCTTGCTCGACAGGTAGGAGTGAGGGGGCGTGGCCTAACCCGGACCTGATGCCTGAGTGCTGAGAGGATGAGTCACTCAGAAGGTAAAATCTGTGACTTTCTGCCCTTTCATTGCATCAATATTATTTATCTACCTATAACTCCATTGGTTTTATCTTGTATATATTTGTTTCTTTAGGGTTTTCCTTCCCTGTGAGTGTAATGTATTTATTGTATTTATATGTGCGGGTTTGTACTGTACTTCCAATGCAATTAGAAATGTATGAATTAAAGTAAAATGTCAAAATAAAATAAGCAAGATTAAGTTTACATTCAAATTAGACATATTTCATAAATTCATAAATAGATTTATTGTCAAGTGTAATTATTTATTTCCACAATATGCCACTACCTCCTTCTGTAACCTGTGCAATATTATAATTTAACTTCAAATCACATCTGTATATCATATATATATATATAGTTTGTACATACAACACAAATTCTACTTTTTCTTCATATCTTATTAAATGTGTATTTTCTTTTCTCTCATTTACTGTTACACATCTGGAGCTACTGTAATAAGTGAATTTCCCAGTGTGCTCTACAAAGTCTTATATTTATGAAGATAAGTTCATAAAACTGATGACAAAGTATAATGAATTTAATTATGTGGTAGTTTCTCCACTACAGCAGTCTGCAGTAAATAGAGCAGAGTGAGACATCCTGCTCCCTCCTGTCAGGTGACTTCCACTCTTTCAGTGCAGATTATGTTAAGTGTAAAAAGGAAATTAGATATCCACACACTCTATGATCTTTAAAGAACAAAACTTTTGTCCAATCGTATAATAAATGTAAGAATAGAAGGCAACACGAGAGCACGTCAGATAACTTAACCCTTCAGTTACCACTGATTCCCCGATCAAAGAAATAATTCAGACCAGAACCAAAACATCTGCACACAAAAAGCTAACAAACTTTAGAGCAGGCAGAACATATTAGGTTTAACAATAACAAAGCAGAGACACAAAAGGCCAATTAAACATCTTATCATCTGATTTGTTTTGGTAGAATTGACATTTCTGTGAAATCACTTTCTTTAAAGCTTTCTCTGTTGATGCTCTAAATGTATCCATTTCAAAGGTCTGAAAGAGCTTTTATTAAAACATTTTTATTAAACTTTAGATTCTAACAAAGTGACCACAACATGCTGAGTGTATTTTCCAGATTTTATTGTTTTTGTACACAAATAACAGTGGGTCTCGCTTCCATCTGTTGGACCGCTTGAAACCTGTAAAAGACAAAAGCAATACATTAAAAATAACTTAGTGAAACCAATTAATGGTAAAATGGTACAAATATTCATTTCCTCATGACTTTATAATGAGTTTAATAAAAATAGTACAAATACAGTTTTATTTAAATTGTGACACTTCACTGGTTCAGTTTTTGCTTTGTAGCCAAGATTTTAATAGTAATACAACTCATTGTACATTCAAAGCAATCTTGCATTTATGTTTAAGTTACTGACACTTCTGAAGCTTTAGGAGAGTTACTATTGCAGCCAGATCCACCTCGCTTTGGTCTTGTTGGCATTTTATTGATCCACCATCACGAACAGTCAGATTCCCTACGTTCACTTCTCAGTTATTTTAAATCATGTGCCGCTTCAATCCTTCTCAGACAAATGCCTCGATGTCTTCAACCGTTAAGGACTTCCTGCTCTGAGGAACTGGAGCAGAACCACAGAACGTGGATCTGCACCAGTGAGCCCCAGAACCAGTTTGAGTCCCGTTCCGACTCGTCATCGTATCATCACCGAAGGGACAAACACTGAGGCTATAACTCGTCTTTGTTTCCTGCTTATTGTCACTGCAGGGAACTTTTCAGATTTTCACACATTAAAATAAAATGTATGGAGCTGTGGAAGCTCAGTTTGATTTATATGGATCAGAAGTATTTCAAGATTCTAACTGTCCATATGATATCTATATTGAATCATTGTGTCATAAGGATTCTCTGGTTTCTTTATCCTAATACTTATTTGGAGCTCTCAAATTGAGAACATAAGCTGTAGAGGGACATTGACAGATAAAGAGGGTGCCTGTTGGTGATTGGGCCCCTGTTGGTGATTGGGCCCCTGTTGTCTCTCACCCTCTTATGCGGTGGGTACAGGTGTTCCCTGGGGCATGACGGGCGCCTCTGGCTTGGCCCCCTTCTGCTCAGAAATGGGTGTGGTGGGCAGGTTCTCCTCCTTGGGCTCCACAATGCTGACGTGGTCGGGCAGGGGCTTCTTGGGGCCAATCTTACCGCTGGGGTCCCAGGGCAGCATGATCTTCACCTTGATGCCCAGCACACCTGAAGAGGACCAACAAACTCACCAATAAACCGGTAATCAGGACAAACAAAGGCTGTGAAGTACAGAGATCCACTCGACACTTTAACTGCATCACAGTGGCAACGAGCTTCGTATGAAACGCTGCAGAAAACCCAGGGCTCCTTCAGGGCTCCTTCA